TTTCCCTAACCCTGGATGATGTAAGTAATCCCACAATAAACATGAGGATCGTACTATAGCATTTCTGCTTAATTTCATTCACATCAAAATCCGAGTGGCATTGAAAGTGTTGTGCGGTTTTCTTAGCCTCACAAACAGACACTAGGCATATTAAGCAGATAACTCACTTTGCATTTATCAGCTGGAAACGTCAAAGCTGCTTTCCTTTTCATGTAGGCTAAACATATTCCAATCTCAACAAATCAACACATCAGAAGGTTTACTATCTTATTAACAAAAAATAGCACCTTCTGTGTCAAGAGCAAATTATGCAAGTGCCATTGCCTCATCATTCTTTACCTAAGCATATAGCTTACCAAGATTCACTAAGCCTTTGCCCTTTTGAGCCTGAGTCCTTCTGTTACTAATTTTTATAAAACTACTCACTTTAAACTGTAGCACTAACAAGGCAAGAAATCCATGTCTCCCCGCAAGGGCTCGGTCATGTGTCTTACCAGGTTTCCTGTCGGCTTGAACTCACAGTCTCAGTAGCATAAGTTACTCTTGCAATCTCTGTACCCCAGCCAGTGTAATTGCCCTTCTGTGTTCCTGAGAAGATTAAATATATGGTTTCTGCACTGTGCTTGGATTAAAGGAGCAATACAATGTGAGAAGTATAATTCATAAAGATATGTTACGTGCCACAAATCCAGACTGTCCAAAAACTTATTTAAAATTAAAAAGATAAATTAGCTGACTCTTTTAACTTGTCCATTAAGGGAAGCAAATGGCATTTATTTATCTTGAAATGATATGAGTAATGGTTCTACAGAACATCCACTGCCCGCACTTTCCTGAAGAAACGAGCAGCTCACAAAGGGATTTAAACTACAGGATGCCTCCCTGTAATTCAGAAGAAGGGAGTGGGGATTTTACTGATGAGCTGCAACTGGTTTACTGGATACCCATCCGCTGAGCAAGGTAGCACAGAGTAGTGGCTGCTCCTGTGAAGGAGTGGCCTGATGCTTGGAAATCCATGTGTGACTATGGTAGTAAAACCATCCACATTTTCTAGTGAAGCTTAAATATAACTACATAGGTATATGTAATGAGTATCTGATCATACTTTAATTGTAGATAAAACTAGAAAGAGTTTAATCATTCTTTTATTACCTTTCCTGTGGGAGTCACACAGCAAAATGTCTATCATGAGGATGAGGCAGTCACTTAAAATCTGATCAGTTGTGTGTCATTGCCCAGCCAGTTTCTCTCTCTCTAAAGGGACATTCCTACTCTGGCAGACACTAAGCCACAGGGCAGATGCTCTCCATGTTGTGTCCCATAATCCTTGTAATGGCCATCCTACTATACTTTCCTGACCAAAAGCTCTTCCCAAATCACCCTTCAGTCCCAACAAATAATAAAGAAGCCAGAATGCCAACGTCCTCTTATCTCAAAGAAAATGAGATCATCCCGTCTCCGCCGTGCAACAGTCCCAAAGAGTAACAAATCAAAGAAAGGAGTTTAGCCGAGCTCTGCCCACCCTCTGTTTCCATCCCCTTTGGAGGCAGGCAGCGACACTGATGGCTTTGTCAAAATCATCAGAGTATTTTCCTCCATTTGAAAATAAAGCATACAGGCATGAGCCCCATTAATTTAGGCAGCAGCATCTTTTGCCATCCCATAGCATCCAGCTGTTGAGATGATCCTATCTCTAAATCCCCAGAAAGTGTAGCAGGTTCATACATAGAGAATGAAAAAAATAAAATAAAATCAATAGGTCCTTAGTGTGATACACTCTCTCTTGTGTAGAAGCCCACGATTTCTTGTCAGACGAGACATCGGCATAATTGATACCATTGTAAGTGGCTTCTTCTGCAGCCACCACAGAAAATGTGCTGGCTATGTTGCATGTACTTGCCTGGATGATGTCTCACATTACTCTCTCTACCTTCCCTTCTCTGCCAGGCTTGTTTGGTATAGAAGAATCTGTGGGAACAATGACTGCAATTGTGGCGGCTGGCATGGGAGGCGTGGTGCTTGTCATCACTGTTTTAACCCCACAGATGAGGAGGTGCATCCTCTGCATGAGACAAGGCTCTCGCCAAGGTAAGGAACTCAAACTGAAACCTGGAATCCCTTGCCAGAAAGATAAATCCAATTGTCTATTTCCAAAGGTACCTTTTTTAAAATGTGAGGAGGAATTGGCTGTTTACTTACCTCTAGTCAGATACGGGATCTGGTTTAAGACATCAGCATTGTGGATGAAACTCTAACAGAGCTGGCTCTGTATTCCATCTCTTTTTCAGATAGTTCTTTGCTTATGTTGGGTAGAGCTTCATGCGTGGGCCTAGTGAGTTACCTATAAAAAGAATAGGATCTTCTTAAATTGCCACTTTTGGCAAAGAAATTTTCAATGAGATGCTGCTGCTTCTTTTAACGAAGTCCAGAGTCCCCTTCAGTTCTTTTAGGTTTATGTTGAAGAATGGCTCTTCCTCACACCAACTATGTGCTTACATGCATATTCTTGTAATACTCATATACGGAAAGCCTTATGATGGCCTAAGTGTATGTGTGAGCTGTGGTTTGTAAAGTCCAGTAACGTATTTTATTAGATCAGCTGATCAAGTTGGGAAAGCTAGATGTTTTCATTACCCATGAACCAAAGAAATGACCTGAAAAGAGGCTGATATACCCAAAAGCCAGTTAGCTCAGTTGGTTAGAGTGTGGTGCTGATAACACCAAGGTCACGGGTTTGTTCCCGTTTGGTACCCATGTGTTGCCTGATCTAGTTGAGAGGCGTCCCTGCCCATGACAGGGAAGTTGGAATAAATGATCTCTAAGGTCCCTTCCAGCCTAGGCCATTCTATGATTCTAAGCTCACTTGTTTATTACAGCTGTGTCAACGGGTCTAGTCAGAGCAGACTGACACTGAAGGCTGGATTTTGAAACAAGCTTAGTTATCATTTTGAGCCACCCAAGATGCAGTCTGCGTTTCAGACCGAGCTCAGCTGACTTTTTGCTTTCAAGTGGGGAGCTGTGTGATTTGCACCTCTTCTCCCAGCACTCAAAAATCTCTCTCGGACTGCTGAAAAACAAAGCTCTACCCCCTGAAGGGGTGAAGGAAGAGCTGCGCTCGCCAGTCACTGGAGCGTTGCCGCCACCTGATGGCCAGCGTGGCGGGGACAGCGACAGAGCCAGGAGCTCTGCCTCCCTTACCGGGGAGTCTTCCTGATGCCGCCCACGCAGCATCATCCCTTTGCAAATCCTCTGCCCGAACAGGGTTTGCAAGTTCTTTACTTGCCAGAAAGCCTTGGAATAGTTTACTGTGTTGTACTAACTCTGCATCTCTCACTCGTTGTCTCTTCTTCTTGCTCAGTGTAGTTTGAGGTGAAGCATTAGCAGGAGTCACTGGAAGATGCAAAGCCTACAGATGCAACAACTTTTGGTGCCCTGCAAGCCAAAAATGGAGCTCTAAGTGGAATAAAATCTTTGTCTCAGTGTATGTCGTTTTTGGCATTTTTATTTTCTTTGGTCTGTTTCTTTTTTCTGCAGCTTTGATAGCCACAGCGGCATATTCGACATCCTCCCACAGCACGGAGCAAAAGAGCCTTTTGTGAAGAAGTTTGCATGATCACTTGCCAAAACCCCACTTAGTTTAGCCACATATCTCTAAATCTAGACTCTGATGAGGTACTTTGGCTCTTTCC